TTACTTATTTAAACATCCTAATGGCCGCGAATCTTTAAGACACAAATATAGTTTAAACACAGTGATTAATAATTCAAAACACGCATGCATAATATCATAAACAATTAAATAAAGACTACATATTCATGCTAAGACTCAAGACATCGCCCTAGCAAAAGAAATTAGTTACGAACAATCATAAAACAAAATATTATTAAGAACACGGATAGAAAACACCTTGTAGGTAAAAAGTCTAAAATTCTCCAAAATAATGCATTTGTAACCCTAATGGCTAAAAAGCCTTATTTATAAGAAAAACCAATGAAAATGGCTTTAAAACTTTGAATGTTAACAAAAAACCAAGTGATAAGTTTATTTAATAGTTATGACAAAGCCCAACATCAAATCAGGACTAGCCCAAGGAATATAATTTATTAAGCTTCCAATTTTAACCCTGACGTCAAGTCTTGCCGTTTGTTTGGTCTGTTTCACTTCAGATGGAGAGGGGAAGGTCTGTAGATCTCCGATCATTTATAAGAAAAACTAATGAAAATGACTTTAAAACTTTGAATGTTAACAAAAAAAACCAAGTGATAAGTTTATTTAATAGTTAGAGCAGTTCCAGTGTGGAAACCTTCCCCCCAGGCAATACACTATGTTATCCACCCAGTGAACAGTAATTGCCTTTAATGAACAGTAATCGCCTTTTGCATCTCCACTGTTGCACTTCAATAGCCCTGACAATAGGCAATAAAATATTAGTATTTTTTTTATTTATAAAATAATACAAAATAATTTTATTTGTAATTTCGGATAAGATTTTTAATCTTTCTTGTTGCGCCACGTGTCATTATCCAAAAAGTTATAAAATAATACAAAATAATTGTGGTGTAATTTCGGATAAGATTTTTAATTGTTCTTGTTGCACCACTTGTCATAAAATCCGAAAAGACAATCATTGGTGATGGATTTCCAATAAGATTTTTAATCGTACTCGTTGCGCCACGTGTCATGATCCGAAAATACAATTATTGGTGATGGATTTCCGATAAGATTATTAACCAATCATGTCTCGCCACTTGTCATAATCTGTTTACAATTTTTGAGGATAGATTTCCATTAGATTTTTATCGAATGACGGCATGCCACGTGGCATTATCTACAACCAAATCCTTTATGAATCCTCCATATAATCCACCATCCATCCTCACAAATCTCACACCAATTTTCTCAAGATCTTTATCATTATTCGTAGTTTATGCTTCCTTGTTCACCAAAATCTCTATCATTATTTATAGTTTCTACTTCTTTCTTACAATGTCTTCTTCTTCCTCAAGGATGATGTGGGAACTCGATGAGCAAGAGGAAGGATTGTTTAACCAATCAGAAGGAATGTTCAATCTCCAGGTGGCCCAAAATGAGAAGGAAGAGGATGAGGAGCGTAGAAGGAGAGATGACGAAGCAAGAATGGCAAGAGCCTCACATTCTCGTTGAGTCATCCAAGGTGTAGGTCAGATCTGCAGGCCCAGCCGTTCCGGAAACCTTGATAGAAGCAGGCAACAACAAGGTACGAAACTCTTGGACGATTATTTTGTACGTAATAGTGCATTCCTTGGTGGCTTATTTTGTTCCTTATTTTGTCACATCAGAAAAATAGAGGGGGTAGGATTTCTAGCTATTTGCTTCGCTTGGACTTTATGGCTATGTTTGCTACACCGCATTAGTTTGCCGAATTGAGCTCTTATGAGTTAGTCTAAGTTGTATCAAACAAGGTGCTATTTAGCAATCTCACTAAGTGGGACTAATGCCTCACCTAGTCTCCTTATTTTGACCTTGTTAAAATGAGGGCTTGAACTAAAGCCAACCCAAGCGAACACGCCCTATAGGTTTTTTAAATAAAATAGAGCTTACTGTTTATAAAATAGTGTCAGATTACCCATTCTTTTTTGTTTCACTTGATGCACTTTTTTTTTGTTGGCTATGAAAATGGATAGGTAGTTCCTCTTGTTTTGAAATTAAGGATGTTGGTAACCTACTTATTACTTTGGTTGCTAATTGATTAGTTTCAAATGCAAGAAATGATTATTAGTTTCTAATGTTATAATTTTATGGTTCAAAATGTGTATAGATGTCACAGTTGATCACTTGTCGTCGGAGTGTGACCAATGAGCTTCCCGCATTATCAGCATCTACTGCTCTAGGTCAAACACTGCAAAGGTCGATGCGTTGAAGGAGGAAGTGACAACCCTAAAGGGTCAGCTTGCGGTCCAGGGCCAGCAAATAAAGGCCCAGGGCGAGGAGCTGAAGGCTTGTGTTGGGCACTTGAGAGACCTTGTACGAGCCATACAGATGATTGGCATCCAAATCTCGCTACCAGTACCTGATCTTACTCCACCTTCAACCTCCGAGCCACTTCACCTAGAAGGCTACTTGTAATTTTTTCTTTTTTGTTCGGACATCTTGTATGTACATTTTCATATATTTTATAATTAAATACTTTTCTTTGGTTAATTAATTATTGTTTAGAATTTAATTACAATATTATTAAAAATTAAAAAAATATATTTTTGACCAAAACCAAAAAGTGATCTAATCCATTTTGCACGACGTAGGTTGCGTCGTGCAAACTTTGTGCGACTCAGCCTACGTCACGCAAAAGGTCTTTGCGCGACATAGGTATCTTCTTCGTCGTGCAAACCCTTCTGTCAATGCCTTGGCGCGACGGTTAGCACGCGACCGAGGTCCGTTGTGCAAAATTTTGCGCGACGCTTTTTGACTTTGCGCGACGAAGGACCTGCGTCGCGCAAAGTGTTTTTTGTATTAGTGCGAAACAAGTTCAAAGAAGTTTAATGGCAGAAATCGGCGAAAAAAGTGTCTGGAAAAAAAAAAAAACAAAACAAAACATAAAACTATTTCTGGAGAACCCAAAACATAACATTGTTTCTGGAAAAAAAAAAAATCAGATACAATGTTTGTTTTGTCTGTGCATAAACAAACACTATATTTGGAAAGAAAAGAACCAAAATTCAGAAACAGTGACTTAAATTTTAGAAACAATGACTTATATTCCAGAAACAGTCTATATTTTAACCTTTGACTGTTTCTTTTCTTTCATGCATCAGTTGATTATATTTAAGAAACATGATGCTTATTTTGCTTTGAATCCAAATACGGTGAATTTCATTATTTCTTTTCTAGCTTACATTTAAGAAACAATGTGTATTTCATTTGGATCCAGAAACAGTGACCTAGATTCCATAAACAGTAACTTAGATTCCAGAAACAGTTTATTTTTACAGTCCAGAAACAGTGACTTGTCGTTATTATTGAATAGCATGTAGATCTCAAATTTATTTTCTGAAGAAACAAACAATGAACTCCACTAACAAAGAAAATATGAAAAACAGTACCTCGAATACACTATGAATAATAGCAACGATCACATTTCAACGAAATAATAGAAAATATAAATTAGATAGCATGAGGATCCATATTTTTGTTTCAAAGAAAAAGAAGAAGGTCTGCAAAACAACGATGAACTCCATTAATGAAGAAAATATGGAACTCAACCTAAAAAAGTTAGGGGTAAAATCAACAAATCATAATTTATTATAGGTAGGCCATTTTTAGTTGGACTACTATAATATAGGCCTTGTACTAATCGTTAAACAAAACTTATAACATGATTTTTTATTAAAACTAAAATTTTTCAAGCCCTTTTTTTTTTTTTTTTTTTTTTTAACTGTTTAGTTTTTAGTTTTGTCTAATTTTTGTGGTCTGCTTTATAGGGTTTCGTTATCTTTCATTGCAGTGGAAGGATACCTAAAGTAGCTTTGATGGCACGATCTTACCTACCAAGCAAGGTTTCAGAGATAGTTTCAATTTGGAGAAATGACCTGAACAAGGTTAGACTTTTGCAGTGTTTTTCTTGATTCATGAACACGATGCTTTTCTTTCAAGTGAAATGTATATATGAGATGTAGAAGTCATACCAAAGGAAAATTGTTATGTCTTCTACTTTATCGACCAATTGAATTGAAACAAGGAAAGATTTTTGCATATATTTGGCTATTCCAAGTATTTTTAATTTTGTACTTTTAATTTGCAATATGGCAGGTCAATAAAAAAGCTCCAGAATCATTGGCCGATCCGCAAGTGTGTCCTAATTTGTTTGAGGACTGGTAGGTTTCTCTTGCCCTTGAGTCTAAAGATGCAAAAAATAGGTGTCCACCCTTCATTTCACTGTTCAGCATCAGGGCCATGAAAAAATCTACTTTTTAGCGCTGCAGTAGATATGACCATAATTACTGACTGGCAAGAAATTTTGCTTATTTGTTGGATGATTGTGGATTGCTTTGTTGTCTTTTGCAGGGGCATTCATCCTCCTGTTGACGTGAGATGTGAACGAACATTCGTCTTTCTATTTTTTTGGGCCTTTTCTAACCCATAAATTTCTTTTGAGTCAACCAAATAGTCCCAGCTTGCAACTTATGCTGTGTGGTATTATTGTCTGAAAAATTAAGTATGCATGTATATTTTATGTGTGTGCGCGTGCACACCTTTGCATGATGTTAATCTCTGTGGGTCATCTATATATATATGTAGACATATCTGTGTGTGTGTGGAATGCAACATATCGGATTTAGGTTACACTGTGCATAGTTTTATTGTCTGTTGTTGTCTGCGTTATACCATTTCTATGCAGGCTCTGAAAGTTATTCATGAGCTTTATAAGCATTTTCCATAATTTAAGCTGTCTGTTTTGGGTTCTTTTTCATTAGGTCATTAGCTACTGAATGATGGAGAAATGAGTACCATGCCACTGATTTTGGGTTCTTTTAATAATTTCTGATTTTGGCGTTTTGCAGGTAGTGTTGATGTACTGATTTTCTGGGATTTTTTTGTCCTTGCAGGATTTTTGGTCTTTGAAATGGGTACATGTTGTTTTTAACGTTTTGGTTATCGTGTGTTCCGCTCTTCGTTGCTTCGTGATTCTGATTTTTCAGTGTTGGGTAATGGAAATTTGTAAAAATAGTCGTAGTTTTTTGAGAAAGTTGGCATTTTTAGTTATATTTTCTGTTTAATCCCAACTGTGAGATTGGAAAATAATTGAAATGATGGTTTTTTATAAAAACTCCTCTCAATTTTTTTTCTGGGATTTAAAAGCATCTTTTCCCGATTGTTTACAAGGGTTATGTTCTCTATAATTGGTTCACCTAATTTTGATTAGTTTTAAGTTTTGTCCTTTAAGTTTTGTCTTCTGTGCTGTAATGAGAGATTTCTGTTGGCCTTTCGGATTTCAGCATGGGAATGTTCACTTATTTGTCTAATTAGATTGCGTATGGCTTCGATTCTTTATTTAATTGTTCTGTTTGTGTTCGGGTGTGATGATCTAAATTTTATATGTTTGGAATTATTCACTTAACACCAATTTGTTACATTCAGGTCTCCACCCCACATTTCACAAGTTCAAATTCCATAGAAGTCGGTTCTGCAGATTGTGTCTGCAATTAGATCAGAGATCAACTGCTCTTTTGTTATCATGCGGAAGATTGCTTTTGGGAAGGATCTGAAGCAGTTCCTCTCTGTATGTTTACTCTCTGCATGTTTATTGCCATGTAGCTCTGTCTTTTCTAATTGATGGTGTTCATGTTACACTGCGATTCATGATGATGATTTAATTGTTTCTCAACTTGTAATTGTTTGTAAATAATGTGGCATATTTGAATTGCAATCCGTGTTCATATGAAAGGGATGGCATATCATGTTGCTGACTTAATTGTTTATGTTTTTCATATTTGCAATGGTGTTATGATCAATTAGGTGATTGCTGACCTGTGACTTTGTTTGGAGCTCAAATTTTGTGAGCATTACATTGGATTGTATTGCACTTGGTTTGATGTTGTTTTGGTCGACAATGTAGGGATAGGAGAAACAATGAGGATGACACTTATAATTGCCCCTCCCCATCGGCCTTCTTCAAATTTGGATCACAAGAATGGAGCAACATAGGTATTGATCATGGTGTTTCCTTGTTAATTTGGAAATGATTAATGTAAATAATTGGACAAAAGAGCCAAACAAACCCTTTTCTCTCAAATCGAGACGATGATGTGGTTGACGGCCACCAGCCCCAACTCAAGAGTTTGGCCTTCTGTATAATCGGATTATAGGATAATTTTATTTTGGTCCATTTCTTTTTTTTCCTTTATATAAGTGCAGATGTTGTGATGTTTTGAATGAAGGGTGGTTCACACAATTCCTCCTTAGAGCAAGTGGAGATGACGGTGTGTATAAAAAGAAAAACTTACCAGGTACTTCAATTTTCTATTTTATTTGTCTGGTTTGAATTGTTGTATTGAGAGAGAGAGAGACCAACTGTCCTTGAGAAACAAGTTTACATTGTGAGAATTTGCAGTTTGCAACTTTGATTGGTTATTATATTTGATTGAGTTAAATTTGGATTTCTGGATTTTGACTTTTTCGTTTGTTTCTCAGTTGCAGAGTTGGCTTCACAGTTGCAGAGTTGGCTTCATTTCATTCCAGTAACTCTCTAAATAGGTCCAAGAACTCACTAAATAGGTAGTCAAGAAGAATTCAGTGTTGCCTTCCCTTTTTGCCTGCTGTTTACTCTCTTCCTGGTTGCACTCTCACCGCTTCTGTTGCTCACCACTTCATCTCTTCTGTTGCTTACAATCATCACAAAAAAACTCGGACCCTCAAACCAACATATTCATTTCTACAGTTTCTCTCACAATTAATCTAACCTTGAAACCAACAAATTGCAGAAATCCTCAACTGTTGGATTCTGTCGAGATGGGCAGAAGTTGAGTGGTGTCTTCATCGTCGACCGACACCTGGACTGCAACATCATCTTCACTCACCCCAGCGTCAGCAGATTCCACCTCCAAATCCTCTCCGATCCTTATTCCCAAAAGCTCTCCCTTTGATTTGTCATCAGGTAAGATTTTGGGGTTTTTGTTTGGCATTTGATTCAAGTTTTCTTTGCATTAAATAAGAAAACAACCTCAAGCCCTCAAACCAATAAATCAAATTCTACAAGTTCTCTCACTCGTAAGTCTTAATCTAACCCTAAAACCAACATAACAATTTCGAAATCTCCTCAGAGTTTTCCAACAATTCCGGTCAGGTTTGCGTTGATGTTGGTCTTAAACTATTCCTCAGCACGTCAGGTGCCTTCTATTTCATGTAAGATCTGCTTCAAATTTTTTATTTAATATAATTGGGTTTTAGTTATTTTTTCGTAGGTTTTCTAGGGTTTGTGTAAATTCTCATCTGATCGATGATTTTTTTGTTATCATGGGCTGAAAATTGTGTAATAGGGTTATGAGGTAGAAGACTGTTTGGGGATGGTGGTGGATTCTCTGAGTATGACTGGGATGTTGAGAAATTGGAGCTCTTCTGGGGCCATATCCATTTGGATTTGCAGGGTCTGATTGGAGGAAAAGAAACGAAAAAAATTTTGGGTTTTGGATTGATGTGGTGTTGATTTTATTTAATTTTTGTTCCTGAATGTTTGGGTTTTTTTTTTTTTTTTTAAATTTTTGCATGTTTTAATTTTTGAATTAACACTATTTGTTTTGTTAATTGCAGGTTTATAGTGTTTGCTTGATAAAGACGGAGAATAGTACTGTCCAAATGAACAGAAGACCTCGAAAACTCCTTGATGTGTTGCTTTCCTTAATGTATAAAGACGGAAAAAAGGGGCAAGTTGCGAAAAGGCCAAAAAAAAAAAAAAAAAAAAACAGAGATTGGTACTTTTCATGCATTCGAGTCATCAAGTTTTATAATGTATATACATGTATTTTCCATTTGGTGAATTCCAAAAAATAAGAGCGTTTCTGTACACTATTACTCTTTATAGGTAGGCAAAAATGAAAGCGTCTCTGTATACTATTACTCTTTTGTATGCAGGACAAGTGGAGATGGCAATTGTTGTGGTTCATACAATTCCTCCTTTTTATTTAGAGCAAGTGGAGATGGCTGTTTGAATAAAAAGAAGAATTTGGCCGGGTAATTCAGCTTTCCAATAACTGGCATTTGGTTATTTAAATGTTTATGCGGAGATAGATGAGTTATGTACTCTGATTTCCTTACATTCTCACTAAATGTTACCCAATTTAAAATTGTCTCTCACATGAAAGTTTGATTTTGACAAGATGTGTGTTTTTAAAATTGTAGTGTCATGTTGGCATTATTGCTTATTTATGAATGCAAGTCTATTTCACATCTATCTAATATCTTTAACTTTGATCTTCACATTATTCAGTGTTCACTAATGCCTTTAATTGTTCTCTGTTTTACATCTAACTGATGACACCACTTCTACTACACAAGCTCAAGAGAAAAATGTATCAGCTTTTGACTCAAATTCCAACTATGCCTTATCACTCTGAATATCAAAGCAACCCCAAGCAAGTCTGGAATAATTTTTACGAGTAAAACAATACATTATGTATGACTTAACCTCAAATTATTCATTTCACAAACATTCGCATCAAATCCTTAGTTTTTTATTGCTCGAAGTTCCATACCACTCAATGTTTACCAACACTTCTCATTTTCCACTATTTAACATCTATATACCAATCATTTTCCCAATCGCTGGGTGTACGTAAATAGCAAAAGAAATATCAAACGCAATATCGTAAAAAGAAGTTGTCTTCTGTGTTACTAAGGTGTTTTGGTTCAATTGAGTTACGAGGGACCGATCTTGATTCTTCACTATATGCCTGAAATTTTCAAAAAAAACTACTTGGGAGCTCAAGTTTGAATTTTTTTTGCTATTTAGTAGCCAATTTGTAGCACAGTGGAAATATGTGGAATGATGTTTTTGCCTTTCAATTCTAATTGGCAATCTGCTGCCAATTTAAACCTTTTCAGAGCGTTCGCCACCGGAGGTTATGCAGTTGTGCAGAGTCACACAGTGGAACTTGGATTACACAAAGCACAGCAAGCAGGTTGATAGGTATATTTTCTCACTTTTTCCATTTTTAGAATTTAGATTAGTGATAAATTAATTCGAATCATGTGGCGTGATATTTCCACTCTGTTACAGACCATGGTTATGATAAATTAATTCGAATCATGCGGCATGATATTTCCATAATTAGCCACCTTTGTTATGGTTTTGTTGATCATACTCAAGGGAGACTTTTCTACTTTTTATTTTCTTCTCATAGGGTTTATATTCTGCGAAGTGATATTTTAACTATTTATATGTATCTATTTGTCATCTTTTTTTTTTTTTATGTAAATTCACTATAAGAGATTAATGAAATTAACTGATAAGAAAATGAAATTGAGAAGTCGCTACTCTAAAACCAATTTTTTTTTTTTTAATTTACCATCAGCTATCTCTCTCTCTGCAATAAACCGTTACACAAGTTTGTTGGCAATGTGTGCTACTTCCCATTTAATCTGCATTGACATAACAAAATTTTGGTTCTTTTGAATTAATGATTGTTTCGGGGAATCAATTCTTGTGTACAACTTAAACTTCCAATGGTGTTGTGTGCATTTTTATCAACAATAAAAAGCTTTTTCTTTGTATTGCAAACAAGTCTTCTTATAATTAAAATATTTGAAATCCCTGGTCTGTAATCCTCTTGATTCATGGTTTTAACGCCTCCTGATGAAATAACTACAACGTCATCACTTCTTTCATCAGATAAGACTTAAATGTTCTACCCATTGTTGAGTTTCTTTAACGAGTTTCACCCATTTGTCATAAAATTAGATGAGATGACTTCATACCTTCTCAGAGTGTTGTCGGAATATGATATGATATTTGATTCTTTTTCTTTTTTTTTTCCCACGAGTCTCAATTTGTATTTGAAACAATATGTAATAAACTTACCAGGTCTTCATCGCTATCATACTTTTACAGGTTTTGTTTTAAGGTTCCGATTGGTAAAGCAAAAGCTCCTACCAATTTAGCAGAGTGGACAAAGAATTCGGGCCTTTTATTAATGACATATCATAGGCCACTTTAAAGGTAAATCCAGATATATCGCTATGCAATTTAGTTTTTACTTTTAGCATGTTCCGAGTGACCTTTGAATTTACATGTTTAGTTGTTTTCGTTATACTATTCTGGTAGGTATGTGCGTATAACTGTTATGTTTATCACCATTCTCTGATGGTGTTTGTTGCATTGTTGCTACACAATCTCGGATGGTTCCAATGCTGGACATCAAAGAAATTTCGACCATTTTTTTCCTTTATTTATTTATTTATCTGCATATTATTTTGGTTTGTTGAAATTTCGACTGTAGTTTGCTTTGTGCTGGACGTAAAAGGTTTTCTTTCAATGATTAGAGTAACTCCAGCGTGTGAAACCTCCCTCCAGGCAATACATTATGTTATCCACCTGGTGAACAGTAACAGCCCTAATGAACAGTAATCACCTTTTGCATCTCCACTATTGCACTTTAATAGCCCTGGCAATAGGCAATAAAATATTAGTATTTTTTTATTTATAAAATAATACAAAATAATTTTAATTGTAATTTCGGATTAGATTTTTAATCGTTCTCGTCACGCCACGTGTCATTATTCGAAGTATTATTAAATAATACAAAATAATTTTATTTGTAATTTCGGATAAGATTTTTAATCGTTCTCATTGCGCTACGTGTCATTATCTGAAAATACAATTATTGGTGATGGATTTCTGATAAGATTATTAACCAATCACGTCGGGCCACGTGTCATAATCTGTTTACAATCTTTGAGGATAGATTTCCATCAGATTTTTAACGAATGACGGCATGCCACATGTCATTATCCGAATATACAATTATTGGTGATAAATTTCTGATAAGATTATTAACCAATCACGTCGCGCCACATGTCATAATCTGTTTACAATCTTTGAGGGTAGATTTCCATCAGATTTTTAACGAATGACAGCATGCCACGTGACATTATCTACAACCTAATCCTTTCTGAATCCTCCATATAATCCACGATCCATCCTCATAAATCTCACACCAATTTTCTCAAGATCTCTATCATTATTCATAGTTTCTACTTCCTTCTTCACAAAAATCTCTATCATTATTCATAGTTTCTGTTTCTTTCTTACAATGTCTTCTTCTTCCTCAAGGATGATGTGGGAACTCGATCAGGAAGAGGAAGAATTGTTTAACCAATCAGAAGGAATGTTCAATCTCCAGGTGGCAAAAAATGAGAGGGAAGATGATGAGGAGCGTAGAAGGAGAGATGATGAAGCAAGAATGGGCAGAGCCTCACATTCCCGTCGAGTCATCCAAGTTGTGGCTTAGATCTGCAGGCCCAGCCGTTCCGGAAATATTGATAGAAGCAGGCAACGACGAGGTACGGAACTCTTGGATATAGTACAAACAAATAAATAATATATTGTTACCTGATCCGAGTAATTTTCCCCACTTCGAATATTAGTACTAGCTTGTGCCAAGACATCTCTCCACGTACTAAACGATTGGCTAAGTAATTTCCAACGACCGGACATCGATTCTTTGGTTCTTTTCCCACCAATTTTCTCAAGATAATTGGTATGAATAAGACTCCACATTTCTCGCAACTGCATCTCATTACCCGTAAGCGAATTATGAGTAACTTCAACCCAGCTAGTACACAACGCAACATCTTCAAGAAGCGACCAATTCGTACCTGCATCAGTAGTTATTTGTTGAAAAAAAATGGATTGAAACTTTGAGAGAAAAAAAGGAATGTGATTGAAAGTAGTTGAGAAAATATGAAATTGTGGTGTAAGGTAGATGATAAGAGAAGGTATTTATAGAAAAGTAAAAACAATTTTTTTAAAAAAAATTTCAGATTTTTTTCGGATTTTTTACAATTTTTTATTAATTTTTGTTCAACTAATTAATATCTGCCGTTGGATATAAAAAAATTTTGAATTCCAACACTCCAGATTGTGCCACGTGTCACAATAGTAACTTTTCTTAATTTTAAAACTATTTTTTCTTTTATTTATTCATAAAGCCTATTTAATATCGACCGTTGATCTCAGATCGAACGGTTGATATTAAATACGCTTTTTAAATTTTTATTACCGTTGAGATTGAACGGTCCAAGTTAAAGAGTCGTTCAGATCGAACGCACCGCAGGCCCCTGTGGTCTGAAACTTGTTTGCTGACGCGCCCCCACGCACGGGTAAGGCGCACGCATTTGACATAATTTTTTTTTAAAAAGGGACTGACGCCAGCCTGACGTCAGCCCTGCGTCAGGTCCACCTCGGGCTCACAGGCTGGCAATTCCTCACGGGCCTGTTGCTCGGGCCTGCCCAGTCCCTCAGGCTCCCAACGCTGGAAGCTTGCAGCCGGGCTATGGAGCCCTGTTTGGTCCACTGTCCTCCGAGCAGTCCACAACGGTGGACTTGCTCTTATATATAGCTTCAGTAGTGGGTTTCTTTGGTTCATGTCGTACATGGTGGTTAACCATGTTTTTCACGGTGGATCACCTTCTTTGATTGGTGGAGCATGAGTTATAGCAGGGGGAGAGAAAGGGTTAATTGGTATTCTTCCTGTTCAAGATGCTGCCGAGGCAGCAACAGTGGACTCTGTGTTGTCTCTAGGTGATTTTTGCTTATTTTTCCATTTGTTACGGATGAGTGGATGCCTATGATTAAGTGAAAGTGAAATCTAAGAGGTTTTTTTATTATTATTGTTGGGAATTTGCCTAATTTTAGGAATGGGAAGTGATTCTGGTGAACGAAGCTCTAGAGTTCAAGTTTGTACTCATCTCTCATTCTTCCTCTCTCTCCTTCTCTACTGGAAAATCCAGTCTTTCATCTTCCTCGGCTCTTCCTTTCTCTCCGCTCTCCGTATCTCTCTCCTTGGAGCCTACAAACCAAGTCGTGACGGTCGACAAGCTTCAAACATGCTGGACGCGTACTGGAGAAGGGACAGTTCTGTCCGTTGCGGAGACGGGGGAGTATGGGGGTAGGGGAGAGGATTTTCGGCAGGGAGATATGGGTTTAGGGAGAAAGAGTAAGGGAGAAGTATGGGGTAGGCTGATTTCCAGGGATTTCCTTTCACCCCTTCACTCACCACGAACCCATCTTTCTCTTCGTTTCTCCCACCCTCAAATCTTCCGTTTCCCCTCTCGCAAAATACCCACCAAGGAAACCCTGCTTTTGGTTTATTTTGGGATTTTGTTTGTGCTCTCGATTTTCAGACGAGGGGCCAATTGGTTGAGATTTGGATTTCTTCCCTTTTTGTCGAAGCGCAGAAATTGTGTTTCAGTGGGATCGGTCTCGAATAGCTGCGTGCGTCTACTCTTTTCAAGGTATGGTGTTCGCCGATGGCATGTTTTAGCGTGTTTCTGTTTTTTTTTTTTTTTTTTTTTCTTTGTTTTATATTTCTAATTTATCGTTTGCTGCTTGACAATGGTGATTGTAAGTTTTAGTTTGGATGTTTTTCTGATTTTGGGTTGGTCAGTGCTGTTGGGTTGCTTGAGAGTGTCAAGAGTAGTGATGAAAAAAATGAGGAAAAAAAGATAGATGTGGAAGAAAGGGAGAGACTGGAAATTGAGGAAAGTGAAGAGAAAAAAAAAGGGGGTTAAGTGAGCAACCAAAAGAGAAAAAATGAGGCAAAAAAGATTTAATATGGGGAGTAGGCAGAAGAGAAAAGCAAGAGGGGGGAGACAGAACAGGAACAAGGTGTGGTTTTGTTGTTGGTTTTATCCAAATTTTTGATTTGGAATTTGATTTGAAGCTTATTTGTTATTAGTTTAGTCTAATTTAGTATTGGTTTATCTAGGTTTGTAGCTAATTTAATGTTAATGTTGATCTAGACGTTTTAATTTGTTGTGAACTTATATGGGTTTCGTTTTTCAATTGTTATTTTATAGTTGCTAGGGATGACTTTGGCTTTTATATTGGTTTGGGTAATTTTTTTTTTAATTTCATTTGAAGATTTAGTGTCATTATACACCTTTGCACCACTGTTTGTTCTGCTTTTCTCGGTTTGTGTATATAGTTTGGGTAGAATTGGACTGTTCTTTTTTAACTTAATTAAAGTGTTTGAGACTTAATTGAATGAAAGTTTAGTTTGGTTTGGCCACGATGAGGTGTTTGGTGTTGGGTCTATGATCCTTTGGTCCAATGGAGATGTGTAATTCCCATTAAGCTTTCATCTTGCTGTAAATTTAGGTGTTTTCTCTCTGTGTTCGTCCATCTGCTTATACTTTTCAAATGTTGGTTCATCTTATGCAAATATTGATATGCTTAACTACCCTGCTTCTTTCTCGTGGTCCTTAAACATGTGCTAGTTTGTATGTTTCTGATGGATTATACTATTGGGAACTTAGTTTTTTATTTATTTTTTCATGTTTGTTGGGTTTGTTGTTTTCGGAAAATTATTGAAACTCTGTAATTTGTATATAGAGTGCTAAATGAGTATATGATTAATGGGTTGAATTTTGTTTTCAAAAGGATTGTTGCATGTTTTTTGTCAATTTGGCTGTGATAGTAAGATTACTTCATGGAACAGTGTAATTGTTGTGGCATGTGAATGTCAAATTTGTTCTTAATTTAATTTCGGAAAGAAATGTGCTTAACTGTAGTGCTATATGATGAAGCTAGCATCCTTAGAGGTTGGGAGCTCAATTAGTGCACCATTAGTTGTGCAAATGTCTGAATATTGGTGCTTTTCCAGGAAACAATGCTTTTTGCTTTCTACAACCGTTTGGAGAATGCACGACTTGAGGATCTCAGACCCAAGGTAAAAGGTAAAAGGTTAAAATCTCTGGCTTCCTTTACTGATGTAAGCTTGCATGAAAGAGAGAAACAATAACAAAAAATTTATCTGAACCCCCATTTGGTTCTGTTTAATTGTCTATTTAGGGTATTTTTTGGTTTTGCTTGGGGGGTTCAGATTTCATTTGGGTTTATATGTGATTTCCAATCAATTATTTTTTTTATTAGTTGCAGATCATTTTTATTGTGGAAGTTTGAATCTTTGTGACTGTTTCAGTGTAGTTCTTGGGTACACACACATTTATCCAATAAATAAGTTCAAGACATTATTTTCAGGGGACAGACAGAAGTCTCAGGCAACGGTCTCTCTGTAATCATCGCCGGGAAAATATCATGGTCATTTTGAGTTCAGATTTAGACAACATGTGGTAACCATTTCTTTTCCGATTACTTTCATTTGTTTATTTGTGAATCAATAACTTTTTTAGGAATAATGAATGTCACAATTGCTGATAAATGATACTTTGTTCGGAGATTGAATTGTAGGTCTATGCAATATATCCATATATGGATCAATGCTATGGACTATTCTCAACCTATGGACCTCAAATTTCAGTGCGTCTTCCATCATTTCTCCTACCTCACTGTATGTAGCTATTACATTTGCAATCATATTAATTCATTGAAAACAATATTATTATTTTTCTATAAAATATACTATCATTTCCTTGTTGGTACATTAAAATGGAAATATGAAAGGTAGAACCGATCATCGTTGGGTTCTCTCTTTCCACTGTGTTGTTTGCTTTACCTATCATTTTTACTTTTTTGTTTCGCAGCTCTCTGACAAATATCTTATTATGCCGCTCTCGATCTCGCCCGAGGGTGGTGCAGGTCGATTCGATGCTACGAGGCACTTTGTTTAGGGCTATTTGAGAGAGAGAGAGGTGTTGGGTGTTTGAGGCAAGGGGTTTCAGGGATTAGGTTTGGGTGGGGTTTCAAGGATTAGGTTTTGGTGGGATTTGAATGATTAGGTTTGGGTTTTTGTTTATGCAATTGGCAGAGATGGGGGGTCCAAGATAGGATTAGGAGATTTGATTTAGGGTTTGCAGAGTCAGAGATAGGGGGTGTCCAAGAGAGATGTGGGAGGATTTAGGCCAGGGATTTCAGGGATTTGGTTTAGGGTTTGTTTTCTGCGATTTGCAGAGACAGACAAATGGGACAAGGGTGAGAGAGATGGGAGGATTTTCTGCAAGGGGGGTTGAAGGGAACGGAGGGGAGGTATGGGTATGGGTTTGTTGTGATGGGGTTTAGTAATTTTCAATATTCTTGGACTCTTTTTAATCTGCAAAATCAAATTACCCATGGAATTTATAACATGCAATTAGTTTCTTTTTAGTTGAGTTCAAATAATGTTGATTGCGCTGTTATAAAGCTCTTTTTTATAGTTAGGTTGAAAATCATATTGATAGATTCTTTATTTAGTTGCTCCAATTTGTAATAGATGAGATTGTTTTGTTTGATGTTTCAATCAAAATTTGAGCTTTTTTTGTGTGAAATTATAATGGAATTGCAAATCAAGTATATCTTAGATTTTTAGTTGCATACTCACCTTCCCACAACTATTATATTGTCTCTTGGCTGGGTGGATTTTTATAATTTCCTGGATCCACGATTACAATGCTTTTTATAATTTCCTAGATCTATTCTTTTTATTCGTTCATGATTATGTTGATTTTTTTTTTTCAGCTTAAATGTGTCTTATTCATGTAGTCAAGGCTGGTGCATTAAAGTCCTGCAGCAACACGCGAGCAGTGGCGGTGCCAGCACGGGGTCATTGGTTGTCATTGACCCCAATAACTTTAAAAACTCTATGTATATTTGCTTGTATATTGTATTTGACCCCAACAAACAACTAAGGCAAACTAAATTACGACATCCTCGTCCCACTTCTATTTTCTTCTATCATATTTGTCTTCTTTTTCTCTCTTCTTGTATGAAATCATTTAGTTGAAAAGCATTGAAAGTCTTCAACATTACTTCACAGTATCTTACATCCACCCTCGACAAGCATGTACAAGTAATAGTAGTCGTCGACATATGTTGATATAAAATTTTGGCATGTGTTGGCAAGAATTCGCAGGTGCCTATTAGATGCTCGACGAAATGACCCAATGAAGTTTTTTGGTTGATATTATAACCCCGTTATTTGAAAATCCTGGCTACGCCACTGTGCACGGGCATATTTTCTAGTACATACTATTTCTAGAAATATACCAAAGTAACTCACACTATTTTTGAAATTAAACTAAAATAGCACATTATATTTCTAGAACTACTAGAAAATTACTCACTATTTATGAAATAATCGCAAAAAAAAAATTAAAAAATAAATAAATTTGATATAAAATCTCAGCTTAGTCCCTGTATATCTTTGAATCTTATGAGGCAAGGTCCAAAAGAAACAACAATATGTAATAAATTCAAAATTAACTGTACGAGTTCGAGGATGATGCTATAAAGATGACCGTAACTTTACTTATAACTTATATATAGATGCCTCCCCAGTTCCCAATTGCAAATTACGGTGGTCAAAATCATAATTGATATATTAGGGTCGAAAAAACAAAAATGAGGGGCCAGTTGTAAATAATAAATCACCCATCAGTCGACATGCATCAGGCCATACACGATATGCATAATTTACGACTTTTTACCTTGATACGGATTTCAATTATTCTCTATTATTGATTGTTGAGCTTTATGAATATATTGTTCAATTTTTTTTTTTTTTTTTTTTTTAATAAGGAGGGTCTTTTTATTAAATTTGCACAAAACCTCTAAAATGTCAGAGACGGTCATGGGCAGGAGAGACTGAAATACCTTTGTTAGTTTTTCTTATCCCAAAATACTAGATTGTCGTGATGAAGTTACTAACTGGTTCTTAAAAAAAAAAAAAAAAAAAAAATCACTTCCTCTGTTTTTTGGCTTAAACAACTTATGTACAATATGCCTGCACCAGGCAGCAGACGGCAGTAGTGTGTGTGTGTGTTATACTAAACCAATTTTTGCAAAAGATAGGGAAATGGTGGGGCAACAATGATTGTTCAAAATTAATTGAAATCCGTATCATTGATTCACCGCCAAAAGTTATATAATCTCAGTCGGTGAGATCGTGCCAACGTGGGTGGTAGGGTTGCAATTATATTGAAGTTTGTAACGGGCTGCATATTCTTTGTGTTTGGGGTAATTTTGGAACCTAATTTTGAACATTTTGGACTTTGTAATCCAGTCCGCGTAGAATTTGGAGGCATGTCCTTATGGTTAATTTTGAGATGCTTTTGATTAAATAAAACTATAGATTGGTTTTTTTTTTAAAATAGTCTTAGTCCAAGCCATTTTCATTAAAGTTCCCTCATTTATACTACTACAAAATAAAAGCCTACCTAGAAAATGTCTTAGAATAAAACTATGAAACATAATAAAAATAATAAATTAGCAAATAAAAGGTTTCCTATTTGAACTGAAATTCGGACTTCTCACAAAACCAGACTTTTAACCGACCAAATCAACTCTGATTTGCTCCCAAAAGGTCTCTTTTGAAAGCTTAAATCGTCCCCATCAAATCCCCAGAATGATTCTTCCTCAAAATTTCCATCTTGACCTCCAAAATACCCAAAACGTTCAAAAACAGCAATCTGGAAAAGCTGCACGCTAAGCCTTGTTTTCTTCGCTACGGTCAAACGGCTTGGTAGAAAAATTTGGAATTTTGATACAACCATCTTGAGAGACTTACGAACATCCGTCAATTAGAATCATTCTAAAATTCATTCGTTTGATCACTTTTTGCTTAAGAGGAAGTTGCATGCCCTACATTGAAAATAAATAACAAAGTATCAAAATTCTACCAAAATAACCAATAAACTATGACTAAGAATAGAGTAAAATATATGGTATAATATGGACTCATCAAATACCCCCCAAACTTAGCTTTTTGCTTGTCCTCAAGCAAAACAAAACTCAAAAACAAAAACTAAAAACTAACAAACAAAAAACAAACTTTAACAAAACTTAACTAACACAATTTTCACCTTCAAGTTGCAATCCATAGAAAATGTTAAAATTAGAACATCTTTTAAAAAATTCGAACCAATACCACCACAGAGTCTAAGCCATTTAGAATTAATTAGAAAAGAACTCATGAACTTCCTTTGGTGTAAAGTGAACCAACATGGTTAAAGAGACTCGATTGAAACCCTTACCACTCGTCCTTTTTATTTAATACTTACTAACTTCAAACATAACATTTTTTTCTTCTTTTCTATTTTTCAATTTTTTTTTATAGTTATAGTAGTGGTTGTGCAATGCTAGTTCACTTAAGCTTTCGATCCAACCAATGTAATGTGTCTTAGGTCATTGATTCCCAAACCACAAGGGATTTAGGGCACTAGGTGTAGAACACCCCTAAGGACTCACTAACTCGAGCTGAAAATGCTACAAAACCAACTAACCACCTTGCCTTATGCCAAGACTCTACTGTTTGACGCGAGAATCATTGTTGATCAGGCAAGACTAGCCCGGTTACTAAGCAAAGTCTCGGGTGGAACAATTATTACTTTATTTATAACAATAACTAAACTTTACTCAAAAAAAGAACAAAAAAAAAAAAAAATTAACTCAGACGAAAAGCAAGTGCTTCAATCTTAACCGCACAAATCATGTTGGTGTGAATGTGCTAATTGTGAAAGGATAACTCATGAATTAGTCCCTAAACAACAATAAATAGAAAAAGACTCTATTGTGGGATTTATCTCCACCAGGTCCATTTATTCTAATGTTTAAAATACTCTATGAATATTAACTTAAAAAGAATGAAAAATTTTAGCATACTTTAAAATTAAAAATCTAAAAATTTTACTTTCCCACTCCAAACTTAAATCACACATTGTTCTTAAGGTGCAGAAAAAATAAAGAAAGAAACAACAATATTAAAACCTGAAAAAACTGAAAAATAGCCAACAAAGACAAAGAAAATAAACTAGCAAAATAGAAATAGAAAATAAAAGAAAGTATAAAATAACAAAGGAAACAGAAACAGAAATAAAAGAAAAGACAAGGAAACTCACACACCGGGGATTCGAAGTAGTGACCTGGTGAAACAGAGGCGCTGGAAAATATTGGGAAAAGAAGCAAAATTTCATTGCTCTGGAGAGTTGAACCCGTGACAGGGAGCATGAACCAGAGGCCCATTTCCTCATCTGTCCTAACTAGCGCCGTTTGGGAACCTCTCTCCATGACTGCCCACGAGCCCAGAGCCGTGTAAGCTATCCCCTTCATTTCCTCTCTCTCTTCATTTCTCATGAAACTGAAACCCTAGCTTCTATCTTCAATCCAGAACGTCAAAACATGAATCCATCTCCATCTCTCAAAAACGGAACCCAGCCACGGCGATCTTTGACTCATGCATGTATGTTTATTGAACTGCAAGGAGAGTTGGAACTGCAAGGAGCAATGGCTCACACATGGAGCTGCTGTACACACAGCAAAGATGGCTGCAAGAACTCGGATCTACAAAATGAAAGGTAAATCAAATCCCTCCACTGCGTTAAAATTAAGCATGGTTTAATATCTCTGAAAGTCATACGGATTTGTGAAATGTTTCTGTCATGCATTCATAGACCCAAAATTTCGTCAAAGCTCATGTAATTTTCTGTGTGCTTGCATGCCTCCCTGTGACATATATTGAGCAAAAATACTAGATCTGTGACATGGATTTGATGAATGTCCACCTCTGTGTTGCCTGGACCGGAATGGGATCCTATGCGGATCCCTTCTTTCTAATCCACTAAATCAGGGTATCTATACTATTGAAATTTAATCAAACGGTTGAACTTATTATAACTTTTAAAGTAGGCCGCTGCTTGTAACCGTTGGATCAAATTTTAATAATACAGATTACCTAATTTGATGGATTAGGAGGTAGGGATCCGCAAAGGATCTCTTTCCTCCGGGACCACCCCCAAACTTAATTATATGTGAAACGGTATTTTATGAAATATGAGAGTGAGCGAAGGGGATTTCCAAACAACACAGGGATCTTCTCGGCAATCCCTACTGTAAGTATTACCGATGAATGCATATTTTTGTATCTTTATTGTTTCATTTATAGAAGAGTAAGGATTATGTTCCCATTCTTTTTCATGTATTTTTTATTCTTTTTTCTTGTATTACGAGGAGTTAGGTTTATGTTTCCCTGATTAGGTGTAATTTATTTTTTATTATTAATAAAGTTTCCCTCGTACTGTCTAGGTTTTTTGAAAAAAAAAAAAAAAAAAAAGCAATAAACTACTAAGGAACATTTGCAACCAGGGATAAACCTCTCAACATAGAGCAGGAACTCCAACATAGGTTTGAAATTTGATGAATACTTTCCACAACTTTGTTTTTTAATTTTTAATTTTAATTCTTTTAGAGTGTTCGTCCTCTAATGTTTGGCAAAGCTAGAATGTCATTGTTCAAGCATAATTCGATGCAAATAAGTTTGCTTGGCAAGCATTGATCAACAAATACAATAACGGTTTCGCATAACATCAATACTATTACATACTATACCACATATTAACAATAAGCTTCTATTCACATATACCATTTGCTCGAAGTTTGTTTCTGATCCGACACATATGTGCCACAGCATCACAGATGTTCCATCTTTCTCTAGCTAACTCCGCTGAGCAAGCAACACCAATTTCTAAAACAGAGATTAAACTTTCTATGATTAGGACGCGATTCCTTGCCCTCCCCGCATTAGGATGATTGCTCTCTTGAACAAGAATAGGATCCAAAACCTCTTCCACTTGCTCAGGCAGAGCTGCCTTCACAAAGCTATAGAGGTTTGAAGTTCCCTGAAAGATGTCATCGATCGGTCTTTTTCCTGTAAATATTTCCAACAGGAGGATGCCAAAGCTGTACACATCACCTTGTGTCCACACTTCATGTCCCATGCCATATTCTGCATTCCACAATTCAGAACATTAGATTCTAATTTTCTAGTGAAGTGCTAAAAGCTCATTTCATGTTTGAAAAATTTAAAATAAATGCTTCCCAATTTTAAAAGACTAGCTAGGAAAAAATAAACTACCAAGTGTATTTACCTGGAGGAGCATAACCAATAGTTCCCTTTATCCCCAAAGAACTTGATTGATTTCCCTCAGCGGCTTTTGGTAGGAACCTCACCAACCCGAAGTCACCTACATGTGCAACCATGTCCTCATTGAGAAGAATATTGCTGGGTTTGAGGTCGCAATGAACTATTGGCGTCTCACAATGATGATGGAGATAATCCAATGCCATAGCAACATCAATAACAATGTTCAACCTCTGAGAAATTGTTAAGATCCTTGGCCTCTCATTTGTCTCACCAATTGTATGAATTGGATACAGCCATTCCTCCAAGCTCCCGTTAACCATGAACTCATAAATTAAGGCCTTGAAGTCATGACCGCGATAATCGAAACCAGAACATGCTGAGAGTACCTTGACAAGATTACGGTGTCTAATATTTTTGAAAGCCTCGCACTCAGCAATAAAACTTTTGTAAGCTCCGCGACGAACGAGGTTGAGTACCTTGATGGCAACTGGAGTTTCACCTTGCTCAAGTAGTCCTTTATAAACGGACCCAAAACTGCCCATACCGACCAAGTTGGTTGAGGAGAATCCATTTGTTGCCTTTAGAAGACTTTGGTAAGACACTTGGGGAAATTTGTCCGAATCAGTTGCAGCTTGACC